CGCAAAAATTCCCCAACAGGAGGGAGTGCACTGCACGGAATGGGTCTTTGATCAAAGAGAGTTCCGGTTCCACGCATATCAGTGAAATCGAAATACAAGGACCCCTCATAGTGATGGCCACAGGTACTGTTCCCATTTCCGATTTCCGCCTCACCGGCGTACCTCGCTTTCGAAATAGTTAATGCTGTTTTGCTTACCGTTCATTCGCGCGATCTCGTTCCGTATTAATTCTCCACCTCCCCTCAAGACACGAAAAGGTTCAGTCTGGCGTTTTTGGTCAATATTTCCACCTCTGTTCCCAGTTCCATGCTATCCATCGGAGCCATTCCGTTAAATGGAAAACTGGCCATTTGACTTTGAAGGGACGCTTTTTTCGATGGGTGAATTGCCAATCCGACGTTTCATTAGACAAATCTCCACAGTTCCTTCCAAGAGGTGCAGAAGCGGGGAAAAACTTTGCAAAGTGAAAGATTGTCGTGCCACAAAGTGCGAACGCCGAGTTTTTCTCGGAACTTCGACATATTTCAAAATTTATTGAGGTCGGAGAGTTCAAAAATTCATTTTGGACTGGTCCCTTGGGTGCTATAGCGCATCAGAAGCTCTTTGCTGGTCATTCAAACCTCTTTCTTGCGGGGGTTATGTCCCCTGGGGGATTCCTTTTGACATGAATTGTGATTAGTGATACCGCTGAGACCTTCTTCTAGGGTTTCAGATTTGTTATCCACGCTGTGTTCCACTGAACTTTATTGTTTATTTATTTACTTGCTTATTTGTTTAGTTAGCTAGTTACCTACTTGTTTATTTGGCAACCCATTTATTTATAAAGTTTAAGTTCTTGAAGGAGACGGAAACGCAGGTGATCGACGTTCAGTCCTCGAACCCAAGCCTGGTGGCCGAATGGAAGCGGAAACTATCAGATGACGTTGACATCATTACCACTATTATTCGACCAGATTCGAATCGAGCCGGAGATGGAGGTCTTGGCATTTCTTTGGAAGGTGAGAGACCTCCTCTATAACACCCCAATCTACTCTTTTTGCTTTAAGTTCTCAGCAATGCACGGGGGATTCGAACTTGGTACCATATTCCTTGGTACTATTTACCCTTCGTGGCACCGCTTTTTGAACTCTGAGTCAAATGGCTAGAAATTCGTTCCGGAGGATGGTTTGACTACCAAACATGGATTTCGGAAATCGGATCGGATTTTCTCCGCTTCATTGGGACGCTCCTCGACACTGGGGCTAGAACTGTGACGCAAGTGCCAGTCACTGTGGATCCTAGCTGAGGACCAGCTCCTATCATAATTCACCACAGACCCCATGAGAAATTTGTCCTTATTCCCAAGGATCCCAAGGTGGGGGTCGTGAAGCCTAAGTAATGTCATTTCAATTGCTCTTCTCCCTTGTAAACCGGAAAGTTCCTTTTGAATCCATTTGGTCCCCACTCATTCGGCTGCCCCGTATCCCCCATACAACGCGGAATATTCTTCCGAGTGCCCGGACAGGTGGCAAGGGTCCGGAATTAGTTCAGAGAGCTAGAAATTCGGCGCAGGGAGTAGTCTTACTTCTGAACATGAATTTTATAAATCGGCTCTGACTCGCCCTGATTCGGTGGGACGCTGGTTAGCACTGGGGCTGGGACACTGCAAGCACATGGGTTATTGGTGTTAAGAAGGGCAGACATTTTTGGAGAGTTCTTAGCCGATTTCCTTTCCAAGAAGGTGAAAAAATGAGGACATGAGCAGTCAGGAGTGGGATATTCGAGTTCAGAACGGTTCAACAAGCCCCTACCTGAATCCCCTTTCCTTCCGAGACGGTAAAAAATGAGGACAAGGGCAGTTAGGGATGGGGGCAGTCATTGGCTCGCCCCCCCCATGCAACAAGCCTATAGTGTTCTTCGGAAAGCTCAAAAAGCTTGAAGAGGTACGAGGGTTCAGAGCTAGGCTTGCTATTTTCACTCAAATTTTTATTTAGTTCAAGAAGCGAGCGTGTTCAATTTTCGCTTGGAACAATGGCACATTCGCGCTGACCGCATGAGTGGAGACGGTCAACGACTTGAGCCTTCTTCACCGGTTGCACATCCTGCCCAAATTGAAATAAAAAAGAATAAATGATTGTAAAGCCAAAACACTCCGAAAGGAAGAGGGAGGGGCTGTTGGAGAGGCACAGTGGTTGACTTGGCTCCGCCTGGAAGACCAACGTGGAATGTGCTTCTATGACCCAAACAACTCAACATCAAATTTCAGGAACTGTTGACGTCGTGAAGGGTCATCAACTCTGCCCCCACCATTACATTGAGTCCATCCGGCAAAATGGTCCAGCAGCCGCTTCGGGAATGTTGCAAGCTGGCGACGAACTGCTACAGGTAGAAGAATCTGCCCATATTCCTTCCACTAGCTCCCAAAAGCGCCACCAATTTCAGGTGAATCACTCGGTACTGTACGGAGAATCACATGTGACAATTCGGCAAGCCCTTTCACGAGCAGTACATTCTGGAGCACCGGTGACGTTGGTGGTAGCCCGACGGACACAGCACGTCAACGTCTTTCAGCCTACCTCAGAGAAAAGCCTTCCAGCTTCGTATCCTCTACTCGCTTCGGGACATGAAAAGATCGTTAAGGTGGGTTTTTTCTGTCCTTTGTCCTCCTGATCTCTGAATCGACAAGGAGCTTCATTTTCAGGCGAAATCCGAGGTGAACATCCCGGACCTGGTCTCGAACACCGATGTTTTACTCCAGCAGGTTTCTCGTCGCCTAAGAGCGCGCTCACTTGAGCCCCTCACGGGATTAGCCGTATGGAACTGTGTTCCGTTGGTGGTTTGCCTTGAAAAGGACGAACGAGGATTAGGATTTTCTATTGTTGATTACCAAGTAAGTTGGTTTTTTGGAAGAATTTCGCAATAGCTCTGAAATTTGTCCTTATACTCCCAAGGGCCATTTGTCTAACATTTATCTTTCTGCTTGGTTGTGCAGCCAAACCCAAAAAGCATCTCTCTGCTTCTTCTACGAAACTAAATTAGTTCAAGAGCGTTTATCTCAATTTATCATGACATTCAAATTGCTCACGACATTGGCAAGCTTTTCCTTTGGCCTAAGAGGGATTTCCAAGAACGGAAGAACCTTCGTTGTTCCTCGCTAATTGACTTTTCTGGAATTGCGGCCTTTCCCTCAAGTTGTTTCTTACCTAGGGATCCCCAGCTCACATATCAGTTGATCCGTAGTACCTGGGTATTTGAAGCTTTAGAGCAATTCAACCTCTGCTTATTTTGGCGGTAGTCCAACACTAAAAATTTATTTTAGGGTCGGGGGTTCTAGGACCGGGTAGTGGACTAGATATTCAGACGGAAGGGTAAAAATGTTAGTGGAAAACTGAGGCTTGGCAGCCAATCTGAACAAACGCTCTGTAGGTTACCGAGTGGGGAAACAGGAGGGGAAATGGCTCATAATGCCTCGCATCGGTGGGTGTGCGCCATGCATTCGGCTCTTTTTGGAAGTTGTGAAGGCATTTGGGTGTTCGTTCAGTGCGTGCGCAGACTTGTGGTAATCAGCAAAAGAATGTTCGCTGTTTTACATTCTCAGAAGGGAAGTCCTGCCGTTGGCGGAAAATTTTCAAAATAAAACTCCTTTCTTCTAGCGAAAAATAAATACGACTCCCCTCGGTGGGGATCCTTAACATACGATGTGACTCAATTCCCAGGCAGTTTCCCAGTTGGCTGGTCCTGAAAGCGTTTTTCGTAGTCCAGGAGCTTCCACCTTTCCTTTTCAGCTCGTTGCGTACCTCACGAGAGATTGAGGATGTAAAGCTTTTGGCGTCGGTGGGTCCAATTTGAGATGCGCCATGCATCTGCTCCTATTCAGTGGTTTTCTGAATGCTGTTTCGCTTATACAATGACCTGTCTGTGGAGATCAGGAGTCATGTCGGTGTTTCTATCCTCCCAGATAGGTCTGAAACGTATCCACCAGCTCTGAGGGATGGAGAGAGGGTGACCCGAGCGGGAGTCGATCCGATATCACCCATGCACCGTAGACGCGTAACTCTTCG